ATACTATTACCTCAAATAAAGTTAAACTTTGAACTTCCCAAAGAAAAAGGTCTATTCATAGTTGTATGCCAACAGGGGCATACAGCTCTGCCCCTGGGTCATAAAAACAGACTCTCTAGAACTATCCAATGAGCTGTTGTTAGCTGAACCAAGTCTGACAAAAGAGATCCATTTCTAAAGAAGATTAGGTTTGCTTCCCACTGACTGCAGACGAGAGTCAGCTTTGCCACTGAAGCATGAGCAGAAGTGAGCATGTCATCTCTGAGAAGAAACTTCAGCACCCAACCAACGCCAGAGAAGAGAGCAAAATGTTCTAGTGCTCCGGGTTCCCAGGAAGCCGTCTGTGAGATGACCCTCCCAGGAAGCTCAGTCAACAGGAGAGCTGATCCAACTAGCTCACCGTGTCTCGCTCAGTGGAAGCAGAGCACAGACTCCAGGCTCCTGACTCCTGATGGGAAACACAGAAGGAAGCAACTGGGAGCAGACAGAGATCACACAGGAAGGAGAAACTAAAACAGAAGGACAGAGATGACGTTCAAAGGATCCTCAGGTAAATAAGGGAAGATGGTCGTATTGTATCCCTGTCACAGAGGTGCTTTCAGCGTGCCTGGAGGGACTCCTGAGAGGTCAAAATATGAAAGCAGAGCTGACCACAAAGGGCCATGAGGTAAAAAATGAGAAACTCTCCCAAAAATGGAGTTTGGCAAAGTAAAAAAAGGGAAATCAGAAGGAAAGGGCAGAAAATTGGAGGACTAGACAAAAAGAGAGTGTCCCAGAAAGAACGGACAAAAGAGAAGGATCATCAAAGAAGATTTCAGGACTCTTTGCCAAAACTCAGGGGTGTGTTCTGCTGATCACAAAGGACCCCCAAACGCAAGGACTATGAGCGGAACTACACCATAGTCATTGTGAAAGTGCAGAGCCTCAGCAACAAGCTTCCGGAAGGAGGCACTGTTACAGCACGGTAAGAAAACAAGTGGAGGTGATAGTTTATCCACAGCACTGGATATTAGACAATGATGCAGCAAGACCTTCAGAATTCCAAGGGGATGTTATCTCCGACCTAGAGTTCTGTGCCAAACCAAACTAGTCACTGTGACAGTGGGATAAAGACATTTAGACCTACAAGCTCTCAAAATTTGGCCTCCATGGGTGCTTTCCCAAGAAGCTCCTACCAGCTAGAATCGATCTTTAAAACACAATAGTCAATAAAGGATGTGGGATTCAGGAAGCTTAGACTCCAACCCAGGAGACAAAGGGAACCCAGGATAGTGGAAGAAGAACCAAGACCACAGGGGACCCATCAGGTTAAAGCAGTTGAGAAAGCGCCAGAGAGTTTTCTTCAGGAAGACCAAGTTGTTGAAACACCTGAAGATGTCACATGAATAAAAAGGAGATCTCTGCAAGGGGAGATAATTTGCATGCCCAATTACTGACAGGTTTGTAGAAACTAAGGAAATGGTAAAAGTGACATTCACAGAAGAAAATGAACCTTGTGCCAGGAAAGGAAAAGTATGAGGTAATACCGTGTGGCTATGTGAACACTGTCAGTGTTGTCTTTACATTGCTGTGATAACGCACACAAGGAAATATGATCTAACTAAACATACCACAGTCATCAAGCAGACAGGAGAATAGGAAGGGGTCAGGGGGAGTGGGGTAAGGAGAGGGAGCTCGCCCCATCCGTAGTGGGAAAGCCCACTTGCTTGAAACAGTAAAATCAACAAGCAGCAATAGAAGCACGTATTAAGTCCTCTGGAAGTAATTTTTAAAAGTACCTGCTGAGAGTAACTCAAGTTCTCGGGCAGGAGCAGTTTTGCCTGCAGGGGACATTTGACAATATCTAGAGACATATTTGGTTGTTAAAATTAGGGGGGATGGAGGATGCTACTATCACCTAATGGGTAGAAGCTAGGGATGTTGTTCGACATCATGCAGAGCACAGGACCACCGCACAATAGACAGTAATCCTGTTCAAAATGTGAACAGGGAGGGGTGGATGAAACCCTGCCTTCAACTGTGTAGTCCGTCAAAAGCTTGAAAACACAGAAATGAGGGAGAGGGAGGAAGTGGGAGACGCCTGCTGCGTGTGACTAGGTCTTAACAACGGTGAGCATGGTTTGCAGAAGCAGAGGGGACTCTGACACAGCCAGGCGGGGGTGGGAGGGAACAGTGTATTCCTGGAGGGAACAGATGATGAGGGCCAGAGGGTCGAAAAACTAGCCATTCCCAATCAAATCATTTTTGTTAACAAAATCAAGATATATACGCTAGTTCTGGAAATGATTTCTTTCTGATGAAAGCACGATTAGATACCTTGGTGTAACTTACGTAGAAATAAACAATAATAAGTAAAGAATAGTTAGCTGGTAAGACAATGCTAAGACATTTCCTTAACTGTGCTTCTGATTTGACGCTGAGCTCCCTGGTGGCCAGTTCAAAAGAAGCAGTTCCATTAACTTTGTGAATCTGGTTACCAGGAAAGAAGAGGGGGGCAGAGCTTGCCCAGCTGGCATTCAGCTTACTTGCTGGAGCTGAGGCCGGGTGCAAGGGATGGATGGATGTACAGGCAACAGCCTTCCTAACTGATGATTTTCTGTAAAGCAGAATGACTGAAATTAAAAAGCAATTCAGTAAAAAGTGATCTCCAGGGGTACGTGGTGTAGAACCTTTTGATGAGGGTGTGATAAGGTGAAATGACTTGTTTGTAAAGCAATCTGGTGATCTATTCTAAGCAGCTGAAAATATATAGCCATTGTTTCACCTAGTCATCAGTTGTAGGCCTTTATATAAGCTAGTAGATGAAAACTAAACATGTGCATGTGCTTTTTTCTTTTTTAGGGTCAGCAGGTTTATTTTTAAGCATTATAGTCTCTTACTTCTAATGGCAAAATCATAGAAATCACCTAAATAACCAGTAATTGGACAGCTGTCCTGAATTACATAAGAAATACATATATATTTTCTTATTAAAAATCCACACATTTCAGCCCTCCTGGTGGCACAGCGGGTTAAAGCACAGCACTAAGAAGCTAAAGCCACTTCAGCATGAGTTCGATCCCCGCCTGCCCAGAGGTGACCACATGGCGTGGCAGACCTCTCCTGACCCACCCGCTGCTCCCCTCAGCAGTGTACTTCGTCGATCTGCCTGTTCTGCTCCCCACTCTGTGTCTGGTGAATCCTCTCACTACCCCTGTATCTCTGGCCTGTACCCCAGTTCTGTATGCACAAATAAATCCACACATTTGACATAAAGCTAAAACCCCCTTGGCCACGTACAGATTTCCTACTCTGAGCCTCTTTTCCTGGGGTAACCAGTTGTGGGTTTATTTCTCTCCAGATTTTTTTCCTCTTCATTTACAAACATATGTACATGTAGGAACAACTGTTTAGTTTTACGCAGAGATTTTATAACCAAATGGTAATACACTTGCCTTGCTGCTTCATTTTTGGGGTTCTTATGTGAATACAATCATGTGTCTCTTAACAGTTCAATGGTGAACCATACTGCTGTTAATTACTGCTTAAGTAAGTAGTGATAAATATTACGTGGCTGACTATTATTTAACACTAAAAGTTAGTATTTTCAAAGATCAGTGAATGTGAAAACCACAAAGTAAAATAATAAGCCAAATCAGTAAAACTCTATAAAATAATAAAGTAAAAACAGTATAAAATTTTATTTACACTATTCCTGTCAGGCGATGAAAATATACATATATGTGAACAAGGATTAAAATGAACTTAAGTAAAGGAAATGGGTAGAAATGCAGCCTATTTTCTTTTTCAAGTCCCTTGAAAGCTATTGTAATGTCTTGATAATAAAACTTCCCAACAATCCCTGGTGTCACATCTGCTGTCTCACAGGGTTGCTGCAGCCCCCACTCACCACACCTGTTTTCCATTTGTGGTTCCAGATAAAACCTACCTGGTTGACCTGAGTAAAGAGCGGACCCTGTCACTCACCATCGAGCCCCGGCGGTTCCCACTGAGCCGCAAGTTCGTCCCCGGCTGCTTCGTGTGCCTAGACTCGCGGGCCTGCAGCACCAACATCACCCTGGCACCTGGCTCCAGACACAAGATCTCCTTCCTCTGTGACAATCTGACCCGCCTGTGGCTGAATGCCGAGAAAACAATAAGTACGCCCTGTGGTTCGCTGCTCCCCTCCCGCCTGCCTCCGTAGGGAGGCCACTCGGCAGGCTGTTAGCAGTACGATCAGAAATGTCCCCAAGTGCAGGGTCGGTGAGCAGGAGCAACCAAGAGGCAGAGTGGGGTGCAGACTCACCCCCTTTAGGACGCTAACCCTTCAGAAGTGCAATCCCCGTCCTTGCCAGTCTCCCTCCTCCTCTTAGTAGCCTCCCCGTCCCGTCCTAACCTCACTCTCTGCCCACCTGCTCTCTCGCTTGGGACTCACTCTCGAGATGGGGGACTTCCACATGTGCCTTTTTAGTTTTCTTTATATATATATATATATATCTGTATCTACAT